CAGGAATGCATTTAAGGGGGAAGGGGCAAATGGTGATGATCGTCTCCCGAGAGAATAATTTCAAAAAATATGATATGAATATGTCGCATATTTTATTCTGATTTCTTACAATGTATAAATAGTTAATATAAATTTAATTATTCAAGTATAGGAATATTAAAGTATATATCACAAGCAAATATTAAATTGTCTTAAAAAAAGACAAAGACTACAGATACCTTTATTGCGATATTTCGACAGTAGACCCCCTTCCCCGCAAGGTTCCCGAATTCTCGATTAATAGCTAATTTTATTAAAATTAATATTTAATTATGCAGGGTGTCTGGAACTATAATGGGACATACCATGGAAGAAACATTATCAAAGTCTATAAATCAAACAATTTATGTTCCGAAAAAAATCCAAGGCACTATAAATGCATCTGAATTGATTATTAATGGTTTCATAAATGACGTAAATATGACTGAACTTATGGATCATCAGTTGAAAAAAGATAAATCTATCCAAACAATAAAAACAGATATTGCCTTACAAAACAGTTTAAATATTTATGGCAACCTTACCATCGAGGATACATATGCAGGGGTAGTAATGAAGAATTTGAATAAAAGTTATTCTAATATTACTTTTACCACTGACAGAATGAAGAAATTTTCAAGTGTAACAAAAGCAATTAATATAGCTCTACAAAGTATGTTCTTTTCATTTCTTCTTTAATAACAAATATTTTGAATATTGTGGCTTATATATTTTGTTGCCATTATAGGCCGTGCAATTTACATAAATAATTTGGAAGTCGTAAAAGACACTTTCGATACCTCTAATAAATCTATTGTTACTGAAAAAATGCAATGCAAATTTACACGCATATCATCGCAATGTAATAATGAACTCGTAACGAATTTTGTTCTTCAATCAAATACGAGTAACTTCATACTGCAGAAATCAATTATATTAGATGAAGAGGAATTCATAGTCTTCGTAAAATTTGATTCTATTTCTATATATTCTTTTAATAATGTAGAAAACAATCTTGTTCATTTAAAAGGTTAGTCCGAACTCGTTTGATATTTATATAATTTGTTGAAAGGGTTTAATATATTTATTTAAAATTTGCAGATTTATATATTGCGAATATAACGGATGCATTTGTGGAGACAAGAATGCGTACCTTATGGATCGTTTTGCGATTAACTTCACAGACTCTGGTATTGCACTATCAGCCATGGGAAGATTTGCAAAAATATGTCCTGCCTATCTCTAATGTGTTTATAATGAACAGGACACCAAATAATCAACTTTTAATATTATTATCATATGGTGTATGGGATCTTGAAGGACTAGCCAGTCCGAGACATATCATTGAGATTTTCCTCAAAGAAAAAGTAGAAACTTTTTTTGATACATTTAATTATTACGTCAAGTGTACTTTAAAAAATAATACAACTTTGATGAAAGCGCGATATATAAGAAATTAGAGACTCTTAAGATAACTCATTGCAATAACTTTGATTTATAACTGAAAAACTGAAATAAATTGTAGTTTGTTAAATGTAATTTTGTTAATATTTGAGTATTTTAATATACAATGAATGATGTATTTGTCTTTGATTTAGAAAAGTATAATAAAATAAAACTTCTAAACAGTATATAGAACTCCTTAAAACGCACAAAATTATAGAAAAATTTGTACAACATCAATGTGATCCTAAAATTACACTGTTCAACACAAATTTTAATCTATAATAATACAAACTATTAACACTTCCGACATCAATTCAAACACGCCGTGTAATAATTATTAATAATTAATTAATTAACAAGAAATTTATTTCTAAAACTATATTGGAAAGTTCTTTAAAGATGCAATTATAAAAGTTCATAAATTAATTGTAGAAATTGAGTAAGTTGTTAATTTCTTTATTGCCAAATGGATTTATTAGAATAATTATTATTAGAATAATTATTGCACGGCGTGTTTGAATTGATGCCGGAGGTGCTAATAGTTTGTCATTAATTACTATCTTTAGGCAATTAATTTATGAATATCTATGCATGCATTATAAACACCATATCCTTGGGCATGTTCAGATATCATTTTTGTTCGCATTTTAATTCTAGTTTTGTTCATAATTGAACGTTTTATCGAAAAGTCATGCCGCTCGCTATTATTAAATTACTCACGTCTTCAAATAATTATTTATAATAAATTAATTAGCTACAAATTATTTACAAAAATTGCAAAAGAATGTTGCCTATAGTTTCAGCTTTGCGATACAGCCACAAAAGTTTACGAATTGATTGGGGAAAGTTGGTGATTTGTTAATTTTTCACTATCGAATCTATTCTATTCTTTTCTAGCCATTTCCTGTCCTTGTCTATTACGTGATGAGGTTTCAACGATTTAGTTGAAACTTTGCAGCTTTGTAGATATCGTCATGCAGTTTAAGAAAAAATATCATTATAGTCGCAACTACTCAATAATTTTTGAGATATTTGCGATTAAAGCTTTATTACTTCCTTAATTATAGATGTATTTCCAATATATTTCAAGTTGAGTTGTAGCATAACGACATCGATCGAGAAGACTCTGATGTTAGTTTACGAACTCTGGTTATGTGTTCCTAATATATTTTAATATATTTTAATAAACCAAATCATAAAGTTTTCTACATTCTTTGATAAATACAGCGAAAACAGCGGTTTTAATTAGACAATCAGCATTCATTTTTTTATCTGACAGACAACAAATATGTAAAGGTACGCCTTTACAACGCAATTATGAAATTTCATAAATTAATCACAAAAATTGAGTGATTTGTTAATTTTTCTCTAAGTGAACAGGAGAATGCATAGGAAATGAGAAAAAATTGCAAACAAACGCTGGAAACATTGTCGTGTCCATGCAGTTGTGCCTGCATCACGAAAAGGATGTAAGTATTTGTATTACCATAACCTTTAGTTGTAATTAAATAGCTTAAGTTATGAGCCATTGTTTTTCCACCTTTCATTAGTGATAGCAGAGCTCGGTTGTCAAAAGACAATATTCTGTTGAAATAAACAGGCACGTGCAACAATAGAAAAATATTGGACTCATAGAATATCATCAGCATAGATGCCAATAATTATATTTTATAGCGAGAAAAAATTGAAGCAGCAATACAAACATGTAAAGTATGGTATGTTTATTGGATTCTAGGTCAGCTAACCCTATGATAATATACGAGATAGAAATCTTTGATTGTCAAATAAAGATTCATAAAAAAGAGATGCTTCAGGCAGATAACAGGAAGCGAAATTAATTTAGGCATTGTCCTCCTTTAACAACAAGATACATAGAATATATTGAGATTGAAAGGTATGTTGTGTTTTTGATCTGAATAAATATTGATATCCATGATCAAAGTCAATGGTCATCGTTAATGTGTTAAATTTCAGAATGATGGAGCTGAGATACATAAAGAAAAGGAAGAAGTTCGAATGAAAGCAGTGAGAAGCGGAAATGTATATTATGTCAAATCAAGAAACAGAAAAGAGGCAGCATATGTATCTAGAGAGAAACATGTGTGGCATTGACTTGCAAATATGAGGATCATTGAAGAGATAGAGAATGAACAATTGATAATAGTTATGAAAAGTAAAGTTAAATTGAATATAGAGTGTAAATGTTGCATTAAGGCAAAAATGTTTAGTAATATCTATAGGGACTTGGAAACTATAAAAGAAGCAATTATAATGGTGCTGTGGCACATCATGGACTTCATTGGGCCAATAAAGCCAATGTCAAAAGGAGGTAAAAGGTATGATTATTCGAGAAAAGAACCATTTGGTTGACTGATTTATAAATAACTAAAGATTTAATATGAAATATTATTAATGAAGGATTTTTTTTATTATAGGAGACTTACAAACATGAGTAATATTTATATGCAAGAGCCTGCCACTAAGGGTAAAGTAGTAAGTATCATTTTATAATATTTCAATGGATTGCATATCTGTTTTTAAAAATTTAACCGATATACAACATTTACTTTCTACATTTCTATATTAATGTATTAAATAATTTCTAATTTGAATTACAATAATAATGGTGATCTCAAAGGTACAGGAGGAGGTAGTAAAAGCATATGTGGAGAACTGTAATGGAGAAATTTAAAGTGAGGCTATATTTAAAAATAAAATGAATTCCTTTTTTATTCGAAAATAATTATTGAAGATATGTGTTTTAGAGCAAATTTCATACAAGATTACGTTTTTGTCGACGAGATTTAATTGCTATGGCTAATTCTGAAAAAGATGACAATGGTTCCCAATTCCTCTTTACTCTTGGTTCTACACCAGATTTGCAGAATAAACATACAATCTTTGGTAATGTTACTGGAGAAACTATATATAATATGCTTAAATTTGAAGAAGCACTTGTAGATGAGGTAAATTTAATGTGTTCAAGAAAATATATCAAGAATTGACATAAGTATGATATTTCCTCCTTTTTTGTGGAATTATAGATCACTTTATCCTTCAAGATTGATAAGAACTATAATATTGAACAAACCATTTTCTGTTATTATATCCAGAACAATAGTACAGAAAAGTGAAGAAGTAAAGGATAGTTCAAAAACTAAAACAGCAGTGGTAAAGTAAAAATCATATATGTTTGCAGAATTTAGCCCTGGTAGTATTATTCCTTACAATGCAAAATTTTGTTACAGAGATTTCAATGTTTCATCATATGGTGAAAAAGCAGAGGAAGATGAAGAAGAATCTGCGATATTAAATAAAAAGTTTAGTGGTGAGGGTAAATCAGCTCATGATCATTTAACTGATCCAAAATTAAGCTCATAACCAGCTGTTGTATCTCCTAGACCTCCAAATAAAAAAGGAAAGAAGACCGTATTAGCGATTGGAATTATTGGGGAATAGTTTGAAATTAACAAATTATGCAATTTCAGCGATTAATTTATGAACTTTTATAACTGTATCGCATAGCTGGCTCCTTGCGCAGCATTGTTATACAACTTTTGCACATAATTTGTCGCTAATTAGTTTGTTATTATTACTTACTTGACGACGTACGTGATTCGATAACAACGATCGGCGCAATGGTCCAAAAAAATAATTAATTATGAACAAAATTGGAAGTAAAATATGAACAAAAATGATATGAGAATGTTCATAAGGATATTGTTTTTATAATGTGTGCATATAATCTGTAAATTAATTGCATAGAAGATTGTAATTAATGAAAAACTAATAGTATTATCAGCATCAATTCGAACATTTTGAGTAATAATTACACATATACTATTATAAGTGAATTATAATACTTATCGTTAGTAACAAATTATTAATGGTAATAAAAAATTGTTCACAACATAAATTTACAATAGAAGTGAAAACATTAAGAAATTACTGGCTATTACTTGAACTTGGAACGAATTTGTATCAAAATGTAACTACAATTTGCAAAAAGGTAATAACTTATTACACTGATTGTTTATAACAAATTAATATTGTTAATAACAAATTGCTCGCAACGTATATTTATAATAAAAGTGAAAAAATTAATAAATTATTGCCTACTACGTAACAAACGACGTATTTGTGTTAGAATATATTCGAAACTTACAAGAAGTTAATAAATTAATAAATTTATTGTTAATAACAAATTAAAATCATTGATAACAAATAGTTTGCAAAGTATATTAACGATAAAAGTCAGGAAAATTAATGAATTATTAGTTATTACAGCGAAAAAGTAACTTTTAAA